CACACCTGGGGACAGCTGGGGACACCTGGGACACACCGGGGGACAGCTGGGGACACGCCTGAACACACCTGGGGACACCTGAACACACCTGGGGACAGCTGGGGACACCTGGGACACACCTGGGGAGACACCTGGGGACACCTGGGGACAGCTGGGGACAGCTGGGGACACCTGGGGACACACCTGGGGACACACCTGGGGACACCTGGGACACACCGGGGGACAGCTGGGGACAGCTGGGGACACACCTGAACACACCTGGGGACAGCTGGGGACACCTGGGGACATCTGGGGACAGCTGGGGACATTGGGGACACACCTGGGGACATTGGGAACACACCTGAACACACCTGGGACACACCTGGACACACCTGGACACACCTGGGGACAGCTGGGGACACCTGGGGACACCTGGGGACACCTGGGGACACCTGGGGACACCTGCAATGGGACCTTCCCCCCTCCCCCCAAATTTCGCACCCCCAAGTTTGGGATCCCTCAAAACCCCCCAGGTTTGGGGCACCCGAGAGATTTGGGGTCCCTTGGGGGGAATTTGGGGGGAATTTGGTGAATTTTGGGTCGATTTGGGGGGATTTTTGTGAATTTCTGTGGATTTGGGGTGAATTTGGGTGAATTTGGGTGGATTTTTGTGAATTTTAGGTGGATTTTTGTGAATTTCTGTGGATTTGGGTGAATTTGGGTGAATTTTGGGTGGATTTGGGTGAATTTTAGGTGGATTTGGGTGAATTTTAGGTGGATTTTGGTGGATTTGGGGTGATTTTGGGTGGATTTGGGGTGATTTTGGGTGAATTTGGGGTGGATTTTGGTGAATTTCGGGTGGATTTGGATGAGTTTGGAATTTTTTGGATTTTGGGTGGATTTCTGTGGATTCTGTGTGGATTTCTGTGTTTTTTTTTTACTTCGGGTGGATTTTTTTTATTTCATCCAGATTTTTCTGCATTTTCCTTCATTTCACACCCTTTTACTTTTTTTTAAAAAATTCCCCACCGTTTCCCACGGGGGGAAATTTTAAAATTTCCTTATTTCCCACAAGAAGATTTTTCAATTTTTTTATTTCCCACGGGGGAAATTTTTAAATTTTCTTATTTCCCATGGGAAATTTTTAAATTTCGTTATTTCCCACAAGAAAAATTTTCCAATTTTCTTATTTCCCACAAGAAAAATTTTAAATTTCCTTATTTCCTGCAATAAATTTTTTAAATTTTCTTATTTCCCATGGGAAATTTTTAAATTTCTTATTTCCCACAAGAAAAATTTTAAATTTTTTTTTAATTTCCCACAAGAAAAATTTAAATTTTTTTTATTTCCCACAAGAAAAATTTAAATTTTTTAAATTTCCCACAAGAAAAATCTTAAATTTCCTTCTTTCCCACAAGAAAAAATTTTAAATTTTTTTTTTAAATTTCCCACAAGAAAAATTTTAGTTTTTTAAATTTCCCACAAGAAAAAAAAAATTCCCGATTTCCTTCTTTCCCACAAGAAAAATCTTAAATTTTTTTATTTCCCACAAGAAAAATTTTAATTTTTTTTAATTTCCCACAAGAAAAATTTTAAATTTTTTTTTAAATTTCCCACAAGAAAAATTTTAATTTTTCAAATTTTCCCCGATTTCCTTCTTTCCCACAAGAAAAATTTTAAATTTTCTTATTTCCCACAAGAAAAATTTTAATTTTTTTTTTTAAATTTCCCACAAGAAAAATTTTAATTTTTTTTATTTCCCACAAGAAAAATTTTAATTTTTTAAATTTCCCACAAGAAAAATTTTAAATTTTTTTTTAAATTTCCCACAAGAAAAAATTTCAATTTTTCAAAATTTCCCCGATTTCCTTCTTTCCCACATGAAAAAATTTTAAATTTTTTTTTTTAAATTTCCCACAAGAAAAAATTTCAATTTTTCAAAATTTCCCCGATTTCCTTCTTTCCCACAAGAAAAAATTTTAAATTTTTTTTTTTAAATTTCCCACAAGAAAAAATTTCAAATTTTTCAAAATTTCCCCGATTTCCTTCTTTCCCACCCGTTTTCCCGCGGATCCTTTCCGGAACTTTCCGCGCCCCCAGAGGTCTCGGTCAGCCTCCTCTCCGTCATCGTCACCTTCTGCGGCCTCGTCCTCCTGGGGGTCTCGCTCTTCGTCTCCTGGAAGCTCTGCTGGCTCCCCTGGCGCCACAAGGGGGGTCCCGGGGGGGTCCCCCAAAGGAAGGACCCCCCCCAAACCCCCGGGGGGGTCCCTTTTGGGGACCCCCTGCCCGAGAGGGGCGACCCCGAGCCCCCCCCCGAGCGCTGCTACCTGGACATGGGGCCCTGCCCTGAGATTGGGGGGGGGGGCAGGGCTTTGGGGGCGCCCCCTCCCCCCTCCGGGACCCCCCTGCCC